AAAAAAAAACAATTTTTTTTTCTTTCTTATTTGATTTCGCCCTTACCCCCCCAACCAAAAATTTGATTTTTTTTTTTTTTTGCCTCATGGGGTGGGGCTGGGGTTGCGTCGCTATGCGGAGCTTCCTGATTCCTCAACCCCCCTCCCCAGCGGCCGCCACGCGTCCGTGAAGACGCGCGTTCGCACGGACGCGTCCGCGGGGTTGCGGACTCGACCTCATACGCGGGGTCGCGGACTCGACCTCGTCCGCGGGCTTAGATGCGCCTGTCCGCTGCCGAGGGGGATTCATAGGTGTCATGCTATCAGCTGCTTGACACAGGATACAGTTCAAACAAAACAGTCCCCAAAATCACAGAGGGACCCAGTCCACCTGAAAGGTTATCTCATCAAACAGCTGCATTTCTCAAATCTGTAAAATGTCATGGGCTCAAACCCCGAATACAACGGTTAGCAGTAAGCTTCAGCCAAAAACCCTCAGCCCTGTGAGTTAGGGTCGGTTCTACGGAGGGGTGGCAACCATTCGTCACCGGCAAGTCCAATCCACAACTTTGTTGAATTTTTTATAGGGATAATCTGCAACATAGCCCCATAAGTTGAGATCCATGCAGAAATGCCCCTAAAAACTGTGAACACAGGGGAATGCTCCTTTGACAAAAAAAAACTATTTTGTCATAATACCCCTGGCACAGGTTGGTTCCCCCATATTTGCAAATTGAATATAGCCCTACCCAGTACCATGTAGCTTTGCAAAATGCCCCAGTACTTGCCAACTTTTCCAGGCTCTATTGAAAATGGCCGAGGACCAAATCGTGAGGTCCAGATTGCAAATTTTTGCACCGGCCTGACAGGGGCATAACACAAATATTTCGGCCCAAAAGGGCATTCAGATCTATTCACATCTATCAACTTATGGGGGTATTTTCCAAATTATCCCTCTTTAACATTTGATTAAATTCTTCTGAAGCCCTATTTCTGGGCGTTGGATCTGTTAGATCCAATGGCAATAGTGTGTCACTCATGATGTCACACTGTACTCAACCCCCGCTAGTGGGACTTGGGCCCCGGCATGCGTGTAATTCCGACCCTGAAGAAGGAAGACGGGGGATGGAAGGGGACGTTCTCCTTCGTCCTACGGCAAGAGACAGGGCCTGGAGGCAAAGTACGGAAAGAGGGACCTACTCACGCGAAACGATTGGAGCGGAGAGAATCAACTGCAGGAGGGAATACGTGCACTCGAAGAGTCGAAGGGGAGGGAGGAGACCCAAAAAAAAAAAAAAAAAAAGAAACCGAGGGGACGGTTGGGAGCCAGGAATACACACAGCGAGTCCCCTCGCATGTGCGCGTGTACGCGCACGAGCGAGCAAGCGAGCTAGCGAGCGAGAGAGAGAAAGACAGACACAGAGAGAGAGAGAGAGAGAGAGAGAGAGAGAGAGAGAGAGAGAGAGAGAGAGAGAGAGTAGATGGGAGCTCGCTCACAGTACCGTGGTACAATCTCCACGTTGGTTTGCGTGTACGTTTGCGTAGCAGACAGGAAAGCCGGGGGTCGGTCGATATGGCATGGCCGGCCCGAGGGAGGGTGTTCGTTGGAGAGCTGAGAATCGAGTTTCCACGGAAGACGGAGACGCGGCACAGCCGAACAAGAAAAGGTCCGACGAAGACGATCGGGGGAAAGGAGATCGAGAATTCCGACAGTGTGAACGTGGTCTCCCCAGCCACTATAACACACTCACTCCTACGCGCGCGCGATAGGTAGGCAGGTAGGTGAAGAGAGAGAGAGAGAGAGAGAGAGAGAGAGAGAGAGAGAGAGAGAGAGAGAGAGAGAGAGAGGAGTGCAAGGGAAAAGTATGTGTCTATGTCAGTGAGAGAGAGAGGAGAAACGTCGACAGATGGATAAACACACAGGACGGGTGACATATTGATCGGCATACTGTTCAGCACATACATGAAGGGAAGTAGAGGGAGGAGCAGATACGGGGACTCCACGCAGTTTAACGCTCTGTAAGTAAGTCAGCGTGATGAGTTTGAAAAAGTTATTGGCTTGTTTCTCTGCCGGGAGCAAAATCTCCGATGACGACCGGCGTTTACACCATGGTCCTGCGCAGGGTTCTGTACCCTGTGTCCCTTCGTCGGGTGCTGCACCGCATGGCCCTCCGCCGGGTCCTGTATATAATGGCCCTCCGCCGGGCCCTGTATACAATGGCCCTCCGGCGGGTTTTGTACCCACTCTCCCTACGAGCGCCGTCTTACCTCCTCCTCCGTGTAACTACGCCTCCCAGCGGTCCCAGCCTATCTACGTCACCCCTCCTCCCACCCTTCCTGGTGCAAGCAAACCCCACCCAACAACTAATTACTACTCAAACCCCGCCCACGTGCCCCAGCCATCGGTATCCCTACCGTTTCCGACCCCTGATATCCGCCCCCCACCACCGTCGGGTGTAAGGGTTCAAAATGTCACTCCCTCCGCCTCCTTCTCCCCCTCCCCCCCCCCCCCCCCCTCCCCAGTCCCGCCGATTGATCCTGTTGATGAGACTTATCCCGTCATCGGGATAGATCTGGGCACCTCTAACTGCTGCGTTGCGCTGAATCGGGGTCCCGACAAGATCGAGATTGTCCCCAACGATCTCGGCAAGAGGCTTACCCCGTCCTACGTGGCATTCAGTGACGAGCAGTGTCTCGTCGGAGACGCCGCCAAGAAGTATGGCCTGAAGTATCCCGACCGGTGCGTGTTCGAGGTTAAGCGTCTGATTGGGCGGTCGTTCCACGACTGCAACGTCCAGCAAGACAGCAAGATGTGGCCTTTTCAGGTTCTTGCGGGCCCGAAGAGCGAAGTGCTCATAGGTGTTCAGAAGGGAGCGAAGACCGGCGCCGACGATGGACAGGCGCAGAGATCGACCTTCACGCCGGAAGAGATATCGGCGATCTTGCTGAGGAGGATGAAGAAATTCGCCGAGGACTATGCTGGCGGCCTCACGATCCGCGATGCTGTCATAACGGTTCCCGCCTATTTCAACGACAGTCAACGCCAGGCGACGCGGGACGCGGGCGAGCGCGCGGGACTGAGAGTGCTGCGGCTGATGAGCGAGCCAACGGCGGCGGCGCTGGCGTACGGACAGCAAAATCTGATAGGCAAGGGGAGCTTCGACAGGAAGATAAGGGGGGGTCTGGAGAAGAAGATCCTTGTGTTCGATCTGGGGGGGGGCACGTTCGACGTCTCCCTCATCACAGTAAAGGCGGGGCCAAGCGGAGAGGCGCAGTTCTTGGTAAACGCGGTGGCAGGGGACGGGCATCTAGGCGGGGCGGACTTCGACAGTCGGGTGCTTGCGCACGTAGCGGAAGAGTTCGCGCGGCAATGCGGGGAGGACATCACGCGCAAGCCCAAGGTGATGGCGAAGCTGCGGAGCGCCGTCATCGAAGCCAAGCACGCACTCTCGTCGCAATTGGAGATAGACATCGACCTAGACTACGGCGATCAGACCCCGAGCACGAAGATAGGTCGAGCGACGTTCGAGATGTTGAACAGAGAGCTGTTCGAGGAGTGTATGGAGATAGTCCTGAGAGCACTGCGCGCCGCGGGAGTGTCGAAGGACGAGATCACCGAGGTCGTTCTTGCCGGGGGGTCAACCCGGATCCCGATCGTTCAAGACAAATTGACCGCCCTTTTTGGCAAGCCGCCGTTAAAGGCGATCCATCCCGACGAGGCGGTGGCATACGGCGCCGCAGTGCAGGCAGGCCTGCTGCTGGCCATCAGCGACAAGTGCGACGAGGGTGCTGCTGTCGCGGGTTCCAACCCACCACCACCTAAGGTATCTATACAAGACGTAACTCCTCTGAGCATTGGAACCGATTCCGACATGGACATGATGGCCGTGCTCATCCGGCGAAACACTCCCATTCCCGCCAAAGGCAAGGCTCAATTCTTTTGCTCGATGGATTACCAGCCGGCTATGCAATTCAAGTTGTTCGAGGGAGAGCGCGCTCTCTGTAGCGCTAATCGGTACCTGGGGGAGTTTACGCTAACCGGTTTCACACCGGTTCCTGCGAGCGGCAAGCCGGTGGCGCAATTGCTGCTGACTATAGACGAGGATGGGATTCTGCACGCGACAGCGGAGGCGACCGACAATCACCGCGAGCTGGGGATGACGCAGGGGGTGACAATACAAACGGGTAAGGGCACGCTGATCAAAGACGACGCGCATGCTGTAGCTGCGGCGACGGGCGGAGGTTCGGCTATGGCGGCGAACACGGCGCAGGATGAAGCGGAGGACAAGGCGATCAGAGCTGCTTACGACTCCAGGAAGAGATTGCGCGAGCTCGCGTGGGCAATCCGACAGCAGTATCATTCCGCTTGCTATCTCTTGTGCAGTCAGAGGGCGCAACAGATATTGAATGCTATGCCCAGAGAGACCAAGCTCCTACCGCAGTCGGAGTATGAGAGAATGATATACGAGCTGCAAATGATTCGTGGCCGGTGATTGGCTTCTCATCATCAACTCCTTGCCGCTCGAGGGATCGCCTCCGACGCCAACTTCTGTCTGTGTAATATACCTGTAGGATCTCTCTCTCTCTCTTTGTTTTTTTTTTAGTAATCTTTTCCTTCCTTTCCTTTTTAGGACTTTCTTCTCTCTCGATTTCTTCGTGTGAACCTTGCGCAAGAGAAGGCGCGGGGGACGGCGGGGGGGCAGGGGGGGNGGGGGGGAGGGGGGGGGGAAAAGGGGGGGGAGCCGGGGGGGATTGCTTTCTTTTCTTCTTTCCTATCATTCCTGAAAATCGTCATTTAATTGGTTTACACATGTGTTAATCCGTCTCTCGCGTGGGATTAATAATGTTATTAGCATGGTCTAATTGTCTACGTCAGATAGTATAGTATTACTCTATATAGCTATCTATAGTATCAAATAGAATCCAGGGTAATGTCCTCCCCCGAGTACAACGGCCCCTGAATTGTCGCTGTTATATGGGTTCTCTTTGCCTTTGCGACTTATTTGCTGACCGGATAACGGAAGGACGAAATTATCAAAGGAGGAATTTCAAACTTTAAGGGAATTATAAGAGGAAAACGAAACACCTAGAGGCTAATTGAAAAAAAGGAAGAGAATCAAAAGCAAGAGTCTATAAAAGACGAATTAGTGTCAAAGTTGGATTTTTATCCATAAAGAAAAAAACAAACAGAAAAAGAAGAGGAAAAAGAATTGGTGTCAATCTTATCCCTGAGGATACAGAATTATATAAATCATTCAATACAACGAACGCGAAAAACGACCGACGGATCATTCTATCGGGCGAGGGTTTCAATTCTGACCCACTGAATAAAACGAATATAGGGCGAGGGTTCGAACTCTGACCCACTGAATAAAACGAATATAGGGCGAGGGTTCCAATTCTGACCCACTGAATAAAACGAATATAAGGCGAGGGTTCGAACTCTGACCCACTGAATATCGGCGAGGGTTCGAACTCTGAGCCACTGAATGACAGGAATATCGCGGGAGGGTTCGAACTCTGACCCACTGAATATCGGGGGAGGGTTCGAATTCTGACCCACTGAATATCGCGCGAGGGTTCGAAGTCTGACCCACCGTGGGTCAGGCACGTGTCATTAGGTGTCATTAATACTGACTATGTGTCAATCGTATCCGTCCCGGCACGCTAATTACCTTTTCCCCCCGAATACAACTTCCGGTCATTATAGCTGTATTCAGACTGAAAGATAAGCCAAATACAGGTATAATGGCCGTACGTTGTGCTCGGGGGAAGAAGGTAGATAAATCATTCCAGTTGATTCAACAAAACGAAAGAGAAAAATGACCGATGAATATAAGGGGCGAGGGTTCGAACTCTGAGGCGCTGAATGTCAGGACGACGACGAGACATGTTACTGATGGCTGGTTGCTGTGCGGACATTAGCAAAAGCTATTACATGGCTGGCAGGGGGGGAGGAGAGGAGGGGGTAGGGGAGAGGCGGAGGCGGGG